CAATCATCTACATCCTACTTCGGATGGAGAATAGATGAAGGATTGAAGTACTTGAGGATGGGAAGGCATTGCCCTTTATGTACCCTCGATTTTTCCTTGGCACGCTAATTCAGCGAACCAATCATTGGCGACTATTTTGTTTGCTATTTGTTTTTTGTTCATCTGCTTGATTTTATATGCGATTATCTGTGTATTTAGAGCTTCTTTTCTCCGGGGCTCCCAGCTCGTGCGAGGGGGGGTGTTAGTACCCATCGGGTCACGTGTCTGACCGCCCTCGCTTTCTGCCCGGTAGTTTATATAGTTAGCTCAGCCGATAGGCCATAAACCAATCAACCATTCACCACACACCAAAAGGGGCGAGTAGTCACGTGAGACCCTCATAAAAGTGGCGGGACCCGTAATAGGAAATTCAGAGTCGCTCGCAGAAAAATGTTACAGTTATACACTACTGCTGGATTTATCAGCACCAAGTTTTGATGTTCATTGTTAGGGGAATGCTCAGGAATATAAACTCCGCTCGGTGGCGATCGTAAAGTGGGGATACTACCTAACCCTATAAAGCTGCCCTACTTCTACATAATATCCGGTGCTACATCGAAGGGTATTGATTCTGTACATTACATCCAAATCTAGAGTCACCATGTTCACTGTCAAAGTCGCAATCGTAGGAGCTAGTAGCAAAACCGGCCAGTCCATCGTGAATGCACTCCTCGATTCCTCCACGCCGAAATATATGTGTTACCAGACCCCTGATTGTATTCATCCTCTAACAATAGCTATCAGGAAGTAACAGCCCTAACACACCCCCAATCCCTCCACAAGTTACCCAACTCCAACAACGTGGCGTAAAAATCGTTCCAGCAGATCTCCGCGAACCATCCGATAAACTCGTCAAGCTCCTTTCTGGTATCGACGTTGTCATCTCAGCTATCTACTTCGACAGTCTGGATAATGAGATACCCCTCGCGAATGCTGCGAAAGCAGCCGGTGTCAAGCGATTTGTCCAGTCTGCGCTGATGATCGTTATCCCACCGAAGGGCGTTGTTGATTTCCATGAGAAGGTCGATATCCCATCTCATCACATCCCACACAAGCTGTAAATGCGAACGCATGACAGAAAGAGGGGAACCTCCATTACTTCCAGAAAATACGCCTCCCCTACACCTACATCGACGCTGACTGGTGGTACCAACTCACTCTCCCGCGACTACCATCAGGCCGCATCGACCATCTCCTTTCTCCCGCGCACAAGGATTTACCAACTAGTCTCAATGGTAATATGCCAACTGCGCTGGCGGATTTGAGGGATGTGGGACGGTATGTGGCGAGAATTATCGCGGATCCTCGTACTTTGAATAAAAGGGTTCATGTGTATAGTGAGCTCTATACGCAGAATAGGGTTCATGAAGTTGTGGAGGGAATTAGTGGGGAGATAATACGCCGAGATATGCTGTGTATTTGGGATATCTTAATGGGAAGGACCTGTATCCGGACTTCGAGTATGTTACGTTTGAGGATTATGTGAAGGAGGTTCTTGATGGGAAGGTTAAGGGGGTTTATCAAGGGTGAACGATGTCCTGCAATATGGTTTGTTTACTAGACGATGTATTTGGAAATATATAGTATATTATTCCATCGCGATCTCAAGATTACTGCTGTGATCATGTAACAAAATCAAAACATCCAAACAAAGCCCAAAACTCACTAATATGGCAGTTCATCAGACTTATCTCAAAATCAAACGAGCCGCCGAGGCAGTGTTTCATACATAAACACCTTTGGCACAGCCGGCTCAACCAACCCAGCCATAAAACGCTCAAGATTATCCGCGCTGTTGCTAGCAGCCAGGGTGTAAAAATTACCACTATTCCAGAGCATGTAGCAATTACTGAAATGCAACCTGATAGCAGCCGTCATATCTTCAATCGAAACCTCGTTCTTGTTCATCAAGTTGAGGACTTCCTTACCCTTGGACTTGATCTCATTCTGGCTGAAATACAACGGCTTGAAAAGCATGTCTTTTTGGACCTCGCGCCGTTTGTACTCCTCAAGATCCTGACATCTGTATTTCGAGACGAAGAGGAATATCCCATTGTCTTTCAGCTTCTGCTTGGCGAATTCGATCTGCTTCGGACGGTTGGGCGAGTACATCTGAAACGTCGTATCTTCGATCATGATATCAAAGCCCGATGTAAACCTCGCCAGATCCTCACGCGTCCGCATTACATCCTTCGTCAAATGGTGCATTGGCCCAACGAAGAAAGACGCATTTGGCGGATTCCCATGAGACAAGAAACTCTGCCCATTCTCAATATTAGAGCTGCACGCAAGAGTCTTAACCCGTCCCTCCCCCAGCTCCGCCACAACCCTCGACATAGTCCCCTCCGCACTGCCCATTGAATAAAAGTGCAGCGGTTGCTCCACTGTTTTGTCCTTGCTGTATTCCATAATTTCCCGCGCGAGACGACATGCTTCCTCAAGGCGATAGGGGATACTAGCGTGGTAGTGTGGGTCGAAGCGGCCTCTGCGCTGTTTGTGGAGCTGGACGATACGATCGAGGAGCTCGTCGCCTTTGAGGAGCTGTGAGTCGACTTCAGGGTGGACGGTTGGTTGGCCAGTTATGCCGCCGGCGGTTTGGGAGAAGAAACGGTGGAAGTCGTTGAGACGGGGGGCGCGGTCACATTCTGCGAAAAAGGAGGACCAGTCTGGCTGGGATGGGGTAGTTTCAACAGTGGTGATTGTTAGGGATTCGGTTTGGGACATGTTGGAGAGCTCTGTTGACTTGCAATTACAGAAAGAAAGGAGATGAGGATGATAAGGGGAGATATCAGCTCCTCAAGAAGGCACTACTCTCTTATAGATCAACATCTCAGCCCGGCAAGGTAACTCTGGTAACATTTTGCTATTCTTCTTTTTGTCAATATAATCATGTACAGATTCATACCAGTTAAAACCGACGCCACAGTACAGCTGAATGTTTGTCCGTCTGTTTGTCCGGGCCAGTCATGGCCGGGAGGGGTGCATGCCGGTCACGAAGTCCACTGTCTATCACCTTTGCCTCTTTTTGTGAAGTTACTTTCGCTTCTGGTAAGCATGGCGAGATGACAGGGTTATGATCAGCCTCTGCGCCCTTCTGTTTATTTACGGACCATGCCCAGAACAACGGGCAGCGCGATAGAATGCAGAAAGCAACAGATAATACTCTGGGTTCTATTTTTAAATTGGAATACTATGGTAGAGTCGCGGAGTATAGCAAAAAAATCCTCCCACGCAAATCAAGTCTCGAGCCAAGAAGCTAGACCCTTGATGAAGGGGAAGCTGATTGCCCGGGTTCATACTTCGTACTCAACCTGGTCTTTAAAAATAACAACCCCTCTGCTCATTGATGCAGGGTGTTGATTGCTTTTTGTTTCTAACCAATGATATTTTCTATCCGGCAGATCTTTGCCATGATGGGCATAATATGAAAATTGACAGACACAAGGCTGAGTAGTAGCCTTGTGTCTGCCTCGTATTACATCCTGGGGTAATTATATTTAACAACATGAAGCCGCGTTGGCTAGTGGCAAGTCTACATTGCTTCGAAAATTTGGAGAGAAAGATTATGGATAACACTACTCTATCACCGCAATCCTCTGACCGTCCTTGGTATTGGCCATTTGGTCGAGTCACATATAGCCAGGTACGGCGTCATTCGAAAATTAGAAATGACGAGTTTGACCTCGACCGGTTCGTTTTCTCAGTCCAATGGACAGGTTGAGAATACTATTGCTAATCGGTTTTACAGGGCCCCCAGTTCTTCTAGCCATTCTGATCACCTCAATGCTTTCGGCCCTTCTCTCATGAAAAGCTTTACTTCTCGTGTACTACCTCAGAGTCTGACCAGCAAAGTGGAAGAGCTCATCCAACAAGACAGAGATAACAAAAGAGAATGGGTCATCGGTGTCCTCTTATGTGCCTTTGCGGCCACCATTGTCATGATTATAAATATCATCCTAACCATCATTGCTGTTGCCGTTGCATATTCAAGGACCGAGGACCAGGGATTTGTCTCTGCTACACTTTACGAGGGCAAATGCTCAACCCAAAAGAATTGGGCTCGCGGGTTGCATTTACTGATCAATATACTCAGCACAATTATGCTGGCAGCCAGCAACTATTGCATGCAGTGCTTAAGTTCACCGTCACGCCAAAACATTGATGACCTGCACCCTCAACAAGAATGGCTTGATATAGGAATACCTAGTCTGAAGAATCTCTTTTTCATTGGTTGGAGAAGACGTGTATTATGGATGGTGCTCTTGGTATCCTCCCTACCAATTCATCTAATGTTTGTTTGCAAAACTATGTTCTCGTTGCTTTTTGGTTCTAACCGACAAGCTCAGATACAATTCTGCTGTCTTCTATGCGTTGGGTACCAATGAATATAATGTCATTGTTGCATCGAGTGATTTCGACTTCGAACACCAACCAAACAATGATACAGATTTTGCGAACTGCTTCGAAGACAACATTGCTATGAGCATGTCGGATTTTTACTCTGAAGAATTCGAGAAGCTCGACACGCAAAAGTGCAAGGATACCTATGCTGTCGACTTCCTTGCTGGCCGAGGAAATCTGATTATCATTACCAACAATTCGACAGTCGACAACAAATCGCTACTATGGGCTGGCAGCCAGAATGGACCTTTGGTCTTTGGAAACAACCCGTTTGGATGGATGTGCGAGTATTTGCATTACGTCGACTTACCAAACCCGGATCCAGGGGATCAAAACTGCCAAAAAGGGTATTTGATCGGTGACTGGTCTGTAGTTGCCGAGCCTTGGACGTTCCCCTTGGTCAGCGCGACTGTGTTCACGGATGATACCTATACTTTCAATCAAGAAAACATATCGGATTTTACACGGGATAATCCCTTGAGTCTTAAGCCCAATGACTTGAATACCCTCCTGGACTTGATGGCCCAATATCCCAAAGCAGAAGAGATGCAAAGATATCTCGACGATGCCAGTCATTGGAATAACAGCGCCTGGGTGAGTAATATTACAGTCCAGCCAGCAGGGTCCGTATGTGCCACACATCCTTATTCTAGCATGGGCAAAGAGCCATACATGGTGGGTCACTGCCGAAGCCAAAAAATTGATGAAAAGTGCCAACTCGTTTTCAACCTCCCTATTTGTCTTGCTGTCATTTTTTGTAATGCGGCCAAGGTCTTTTGCATGTTCTTGACAGCTCACGATGAAAGGAGAGAGATACTCCTCACTGTCGGTGATGCTGTGTCTTCCTTTATGGACAAACCGGATACAATGACTGAGGGGAACTGCTTATTGTCCAAGTTCGATATCACAAAATCCTCTCAATCATCTACAACCCTCCAACCCGGCAAGAAGAGATGGATGAAATCGGTCAGCATTTCATATTGGGTGGGAACAATCAGTCTGTATGTTCACCTCACCTTTCTGATGGCTCGCCTAACTTCTACAGATGCTTTCTTCTTCTTGGGATTTCGGGTTTCCTTCTTGGGCTTACCATCTCTTCACTAGCTGCTGCTGCGGAAAAAACCTCGATTTCGAGTCTCTGGAACCTGGGGTTTGGCACTCCATCAGCAAACGCATTAATGAAACTTTGGGAATATGGCGGGGATGGCTCAAATCTATCCGCGGTCTTGCTTGCAAACTGCCCACAAATTCCAGTTTCGGTGGCATATTTCCTGTATAACAATATACTAACCACCATGCTTCTAGCTGCCGAGTATGATGGTTATGCCCAACAACGCAAGTCTTTGCGTGTTTCCTGGCCGAAGGGGCACCAACGCTCGACCTACTACCTCACTCTTCCATACCAATATAGTTTCCCTCTCATGGTTGCCCACACGTTGCTACATTGGCTTATTTCCCAGAGCTTATTCTATGTGCAAGTCCTCCCATTCGATGCAAGGGGAAACCCTGTACCTGAAAAACAACTGGTTGCTTGTGGGTACTCCCCCATCGCCATTATCTTTGCCATGTCCCTTGGGGGTCTGATGGTTTGCGCCATCCTCGGCATGGGAATGAAGTGTTACAAAACAAACATCCCACTCGCCGTTAGTTGCAGCGCTGCCGTCAGCGCTGCCTGCCATCCTCCGCCTGGCGGTGGCGATCCACTCAAGCCCATCAAGTGGGGTGAAATCCCAGAACAAGCAGCCAGACTCGATCCGAGAACGAGCAGTGGGAAAGTAGAGACCGGCGAAGAGGAAATAGCTCTACGCTCTTTATCCAGTTTATGTCCAGAATCCAGTCTTGATATTGGAAGATACCACGAGCTCTGTACTGTGGATGGGGAGAGGTCCTTGACCCCGGATCCAAGTTGGCAGGGGCAGGAAAGTCATGCGAGCCAGGTGCAGTTTTTGACTGGAGAGAATGCTTCTTCTGATGGAGGAGAGCAATCTGAGGGGCACTGCAGCTTTTCTTCGCTTGGTGCTATAGCACCTAGTCTTGGGCGTCCCTACGCTTGAACTGAGTTGCATGGTCTTGGTTTGATTTTACTTGTATAGTGCGCAATACTTGGAGAGTTATTACTTTTCGGTTTTTATATGGTTCATGTTTTCATCTGGGAATGCAATCAGGTTTGTGAGAGTCTTTCCCTTGTGTAACCTGGGATTAGCAGTCAAGAGACTAGTATGACATGATTGCTGTATTTAAACAGAATGAAAGATACTCTGTACATTACTGTACCTACACACCATTCCTTACCTTGGAATACTCGAAAGATATCATGGTAATCGAGTTTTGACGGCTCGGTCTGTTACTGCCCCACGCCAAGTACCAGCGACAGGTGAAACAAACTGCAAATTACTGGTAAATTACACATCCAGATCAGCAACATGAATCCACTGTTACTCAAGACGGGAGACGATTTCCAGCACCCTGGTTGGCGGGAGGGGTGTGTGTAAGAGAGGAAATTGAGGGAGGATAGAGAGAGAGGGAGAGAGACCGGAGGTAAGTCTAGGTATCCCTGGATTTGGTGAGTTTTGATGGATTAATGGCGTCGGCAGATGTCTGTATAGAAGTTGGATTCTCCCAGCCAGCCTGCAAATGCGGTGAATCCGGCCTTTGAGCTGAGAATCTCAGTCACTGACTTGCAGCCCCATGGATGTGCTGCTGCTTTGCGGCCCTCTCTGCAGTGATAGAAGTGGGATGGCTCCTTTCTGCGGCCGCATGAGCATGTCAGCAGAGCGTCCTCATGTTTAAAGCGCTCATGGTATTCTGCAAAGTCTCCGTGGCCACTCCTGGCAGCTAGGACTTAGGAGACGGCCCAGGGCTGCTCTTGGGAGGAGCAGCTCCGGGGGACGTTTTTCTAGGCCTATTCCGAGGTCCTTATAGCGTTTGGGGGCTTTAT